AAATCTCGGACGCACCCACCGAAACACCCCGCCTCCTTCGGTCTCAATTTAATGTCCCGCTTCCTCCCGGCACGATAAGAGGCAGGGATTTTATAGAACTGGCACCATGGCGGGAGAGAGCCCCATAATTGCCATAGGTAGCCCTAAATAATTACACGGGGTCAGGCCGGCCCAGTTCCTCCAGGATCGGAAGGACTGCTTTAATCGCCCCGCAAGGGGTGGCGACTCCACCCTGCAACATAAAAAATCCCATACAGGGGAGAAATCAAGGATATCCCGTTTCCTGCCCGTGAAAAGGCAACAAGGTGGACGGAAAGTCGGGCTGAAAAAAAGGAATTCCCTCCCAGTGATGTGCAAACTCGGTCCTGTACTTTCTGCGAGACCAGAACTAGGTACCTCTCTTTTAACGTTAAATTATTCTCCAGATATTTATAGGTTATACTCGCGAGATGCGTTTGAATGGCGAAGAGGAGGCACCATTGCTGAATGAGAATCGAGCATGGAAAATCGAGAGCTTTTAACGCCGTAAGACCAGATCCCAATTTGTTCGTCGCCATTTCCTCGTCGAATGTCCTTCGGACGCCCGAGAGAAATCTAACGCCGAAATGCAGCGGGCGCGCATAGTAAATTTCCTGAAATAATGCCCTCCGGAGCTGCATATTCATTTTTCCGGAGGGTCCGGAGCCGGCGTTGCCCAGAGGCAACTACATATGTATGAGCTTCTGCTGGACGCGGTCATGCCTCGGCGGGTGGAGTTTATTTAACTTTTTGCGCGGCCATTCCGAAACGTACACGAGTGTCCGGCCGGCTCCGAAAAAGTAGTAAACCGGATGAGCGGACCCTCCCACGTAAATCAACTTACCGGGAAATAATTATCATTTCTTTTTCCTCCCACAGGATTCGGAGAGGTTTCCGGCGTTCCGGATTGTCCGCACCCCAGGGCGAGGAATACGTCCTAAAATTTCGAATCTTTCATGTCAATCAAGAAACTCGAAGGGTCGAATGACAAGCGAAACGCGTCTTGCGCCTTTAAACTTCGGTAATATGCTACCGAGGACTCAAGGTAATATGAAAAGATCATTCTATGTATATAAAACATTAAAAATATTTATAAAACATTTCCCCAAACTGGGTGCACCAATTCATTTGAAACTTCAGCCCGTGCATTGTCTAGGCCCAAAGGAAAAACGCGATCCTGGGGAAGTTTAATTAAAACAGAAAATCGTTTATTCAACCCAGGCTAGAACCAAAGACACAAATTATTCCGTAGAAAAATGAAATTTCACGAGCATCCCCTTCTTACTTAGGGTTTCCGTAATTGCACGCTGAAGTTTCGAGTGATTCGGTGCATCCAATTTGGAGAAATTTTTTATCAATATTGACACGTTTTGACATACATAGAATGACCCTCTCGTGGCACCTTAACGCCGAGGACTCAAGTTTCAGAATTATTATTAAGATTCTCGCATAGGAGCTCATTTTTTTCATTTTTCAATTTAAACCGCCCATTGGTTTCTACAGAGGCCCGGAATGTACCGCTTCTTGGCAGGCGAGAGGCGGTGACTCGGGACGTTCGTGTACCAAAGTGGACGGCAGTCTTCCTAGCTTAATCTGGATCCGTGGATCGCGAAAGGTATGGAAACGCAACGCGCTTGCGCATTAAAGAGCAATTAGCCGCGCCTGGCGAGCACGTTGATGCCCGGAAGCGATAGGACGGTGCGCGCGTGCCATCCTTACGTTACCTCCACCTTGCCTTCTTCGGCTAGTTTACCTCCTCCGCCTCGAGTTAACTAGGTGGCGGATGCGCCGGAGGTGGCGAACGCGTCTTGCCGCCGACTCGGGCCAGAAACTACGCAACGCCCGAGAAAAACTGGATCACGGAGAGGAACGACGAAATCGAGCCTTTCCCATCGCTCTTATCGTTGCATAACTCTGGAATTAATCAAAATTATCCTCACGCTAGACATTCACATGATTATTAATATATTTTAGCCTAGGAATACCTTAAACCGTGCAGGGTAAACCCAGATTCAAGATGGCGGCCGGGAAGCCCGCATCGACTCGGGCCAGAAAAACAAAATCACGGAATCACTACGAAGGATGGTTAAACCGAGCTCTCCGTCGCTCCTCTCGTCGTCTAGAATTAGGATAAATGATCAACGCGTTAGTTATTTTAGTTAAGTTCATGTAATTCGCACGTTTATACGGTTTAGACTGAGCATAGGTCAGCGCGTCGTGCAGATCCGAACCCAAGATGGCGGCGGTGGCGTCGTTGCGGAGCCCCCGGTAAGTTACCCGCACAGGCAATAATCGGTATCGCGGGAACTGCGAATCGATGGAGCTCGTTGGCCCAATCCTTAATTAACCACTATGCACACAGGTCTCGGTAATTGGTGTACACCGCCACGCTCGATCGTGCGGCAACGATGACCGGTGCAATTTGCACGGATCGAGCGAGAGCGACGCGCGCTACCGGATCCCGATCAGAGACGATCCCGTGGATGGCCGGATTATTACCCTGAAGATTGCCGTGAAGATGGGAAATGCTGCCGTGAATGCCACCAACGACTGCCGGCCGATCGGAAGCGTCGCGGCGGAGACTTAACGGCGTCCTTTCTTTCGTCCATCCGTAACGCCTGCTCTGCAGATCACAGGTACGCGGAAATAATAAATCGCCCCGGAATACTGTATTGAATCAATTTCTCGAGGGGTATACTTGATATTAAGTGGAGTCTGGCTGACGCGGCGCCCGCCGCCATCTTGGAACGGCTACACGGCGCAGTAATTGCGATGTATCGGCGAGCCGCTGGAAACCCTGGTGACGACTGTGAGTAATTTTTTGCCCGCCGTCCGGATTTCTCGGTGTTGGATTTTCTAATTAGACCTCCCGACCAGAAGCCCGGGATTACCGTTCGCCGTCGATTGCCCTGGAATAACGTCTTCCCGGCAATAAGTGAGACGAAAGGCTCGACCTCCCCTCGGACTGATCGGCAGGTTAACCGGAAAATTGATTTTTCTGCTTCCCACCTGTTAAGCGAAATTGGTATAATCAACGGCGTGGAACCACCGCGACGCCGATGGCGAGTTAACCTGTCCTTGCGTGACCTGCATTTTTCTTTTTTTCCCTCGTATTCTCATTTTTTGCCGCCAATTTCAGCCGGAGAGATCGCCGCCATCAGGAAGTGATCCTTCTTTAACGATATCGAGGAGACCCGGAAGACCGGCGAAGACGTGCCTTGGTAAGAAAATGATATCTTTATTAAATACTTAAATGACTTAATGATCGCGAGTTTTACTCCTCCATTTTTTAGGTTAATCCACCACTAATTGTAAGTGGCGACTCGGTACGACCAAGAGGCCGCCGATTTATTCCGTCGATTGTCTCCGCAGTTAACCGCGATCGATCGCGCTCAGTTTCGAGTAGAATCTTCTAAAGACCGAGTTAACCGGCTTACAACTAAAACCACTCCCAGCGTTTAATATTCATTTATTCCCGCGCGTATTCCCCGGTGGTTCGCGCAGTGGTATTCAACCAAGAGCGCTGCAAGGGCTGCAAAGAGGCGGGCTTGCATCACGTGCAATTTCCCTAACTTATACTCCAAATCGCCTTTCCCATGGCGCAATCAACGTGTCCGTTCATTTTTATGTAAATCCCATAATATCCCGCCGGTTCGTCAATGCTTATTACACGCGCTCACATAAAACCGGCCGAATGTTGCTCTTAAACATTCCACAGTAAAAAGAGAATTACATATAAAAAAAAAAATACCATCTGAAATTCATGCAAAGTCCTTTTGATGGGTAAATTGCCCATTAATAAAATATTAAAAAATTATACTTATAGGGATAAATATTACTCGAGTGTTTCGTTTAGATCTTGGCTCATCTATTGTTTTTCAACCAATTCCTGGATAATTCTTCGGCGCTCCTAAAAATAAGCCGATCTGTATAATGACCTCCATAAGTCATTGAAATGAAGTAAACGCGCCTAAGTGGGGAAAAAAAGGACCTGCTCCAATGAATACCACTGGTTTGCACGTGTCTTGCGGACTTGTACGTAAATACTAAAGGACCTATAAGCGTACCGGTAGTGCGGCCGTACAGGTACGCTCTCCAGCTCTCCTCCTCTCCTCCTCTTCTCGGCGTTCTTCGTGCTTCGATAAAGTCCATGATGAATTTAAGAGCGCGCATACCCGCGCGTGTCGGCTAATTGTAATTTATGCTCGGTTGACGCACGACCGTCTCTCGTGGAGCACTTCGTTTCGTGCCAGACTCCTCGTGCATCGTAGCCATTGATGCACTTCCTCAAGAAAGAACTCGATGACAGCTTCCAGCGAGCTTCCTGGGGAAATCGACAAAACTTCTCGACTTGACCGTGGAAAAAATGGTAGGACTCAATTTTCGCTAAAAAAAAAACACGAGGCGCGCATCCATTAATACCATATTCTTCGAGGTGAAAAAAAGAAGTACATAATTTATGAAAGTACATGTACATACCAGAAAGTCAAAATATTTACAAATCTTTTCCTCTAAACTGAGTGCCCCGAATAATTAGAAACCTTAACGCGTGATCATGGAGGTCCTAATAAAAATTTTGAAACTCGCAAAATTTCAACGTTCAAAAGATAATCTTGCATTAACCCCGGACAGGAACCAAGAAATGAAATCTTCTTTTTCTCGAATATTGAAATTTCGTGAATTTATACCTTTATTAGGACCTCCATGATCACCTGTTGAAATTTCGGATTATTCGGTGCATCCAGTTTGGAGAAAGGTTTTACATTTTCACAATTTTATGTATACAGGATGATCCTTTCGTATCACCTTAATGGCAGGATTTAATGTCTTTCAAGCGTATCACTCGGTCGTGATTTTTATCAGGTGCAGAAAACGATGGCTGGATGGAATGCCTGCGTCGGATATCACGTTCCACGGATGCATTTATATATCTCTTAGAAGCACCCTCGAAGATTCCTGGTGCCTCTTCCGCCGGTGGATATCAAGATTACGTCCAGCAATATCTGAAACTGCGAACTGGATTAGCGAAATGCAAGTGGAGTCGCGCGTATGTACGAACATGATAAATATACACGCGAACAGGGAGATATATATATATATACGTGGATGTGCCTCTCTCCGCATTCTGTGTGTAGCCTTCATAGGAAGTGTTTCTGCTCAATCCCGGCAATAAATAAAATATCCTGTATAAAATATAGCACGCGTGTCGGCGCACGTACGCGGCTATCGGGCGCAGTGGCATCCGTTGCGATCGAATCTTTCCTGATCTTTTAATCCACTTACCCGGGAGTAAGGTGTATCCCTATGAGATCTCACACACGTAAGCGAGCCCGCCGCGAGATGATATCGCGGGAACTAAACCCGTGCAAGCTTGCAGGAAAGTGGAGAGGAAGGAAAGAAAAGAGAAAGAGAGGTCGACGAAGAGAGGCTCGTCGAGGACTTGGCCCCCTTGCGAAATTAATGAGAAATAAAGAAGGAACAATCGAGGGCCGAATTCGACGCAACAGGAGCAAAGGGTATCCTCTAAGGTCTCGAAAGTACATGGAAAGGCGGCAGGGATTATCGAGCGGGGAAGATAAAAGGTCGGGGCTTCCCATAAAGGAAAATAGACGCGGCTCCATTTTATGCTGATCGATTTGTGGTGATTTTATAACTTGGCCTGTCTATAGTTCCCTCGAGCCGAGATGCCGGGTTCAAACGGGCCGCGATACTTTATATCCGCAATATAAGCCCGAAAGAAAGTTTTACATATCTGCCGGTTCCGCGCGAGAGACGAAGGGATAATGCCGGGGTGATTCTTTCGAGGGCCTTCTTTGTTGCGGGGACCCGCCGGAAAAATCGGCGGAACGATGTGGCATCCCTTAAATCTGGGCCCGATCGAGCCGGGATCGAAGTACCACTTTCCGTTCCCTGGGATACCCCGATCTTTAAGTCCTCCTGTAAAAGGGAAGGTAGGCCACGGCGCAATTTACGGGGGAATCGATTTTGAGGGCTCCATTGATGGCCGCATTCTTGAAACCCCGCGGCCTCGCTCAAACGGGAGCCATCCGGAGCCTTCCATGATAAGAGGGAAAGAAGCGGTATCGCGGGATTCCAAAGACCGACCGTTTACTAATTACTATTAATAAAACTTAAGGGAACTATCTGCTTGCAGAGTGGAGCTTTCTATGCTGGGGACTTCGAGCGATGAGGACGCCTCTTTGCGGAATGATTTTTTGGCATCTCTTCGACGAGTTATTCGAGACAACGTGGCAGATATCGATGTCCGCCTTGAGAGCTGAAATAGGTATGTACAGTGAATATTATGAAATATTAGAATTAGGTGTAACAGGGTATTAAATGTAACAGTAGAGTAGTCGAGTAACGTTTAGCTGGCCTGGAAGCAGGCTTGGAAATTTGAACTTTAACATACGGACAGGTTTTGCTACTTTAACAGAAAGTATCTCAGAAGAGGGCATAAATCTGGTGCATTGTTAAACCGGCGATAAATTTCTCCCCGTGCAGCTCAAATGGCTCAAAGGAGCGAGCAATTGTCGACGCGGGAACCCCATCGTACAATCGTCGATTTATGGGCAGTGAAACTGGCCCGCCATCTACCGGAGAGTCGGCGACACTAATCCACCACCTGCGAGCCGGATTTATGGGCGCCTGCAACTATGCTGCCCTCTGTACGGCTTGGAGAGGAAATTACATACCCAAAGGTGTCGGAACTACTCAATAATACGTCTACATACACGCTACCCACGAAACAAGGGCTGAGTTTTGCACCAAATACGTTTACAAATTATATATAAAAGTACGGAACGGAATTTAACACGAATCAACGAGTCATACGTAAAAATATCTTTATTATAGGTCATATATAAAGTATTAAAACTAGTAGATAAAATTATTGACAACTGTGCTCGCACTCGTGAGCCGCATTAGGGGTTTTAAGAAATCCTGACCCGCGGAAAAACGTAGATTTGAGGTTCGTCGATGGCTCTGGCCGCCGAACATTTTAACCTTAATACGTACAAGGTACACAGGAACGTCTTACGGTTATATCGATCTGAAATCGAAGAGTCTTAGACTTTCTAATGGGATGCTTCTTGTCGAGGTTCTTACCAATGTTATACAAATGGAGTCTCTCAAATGAGGCACTTCGACTCTGAACTTCCACCTTGTTCTGTCTGTAGGTCCTCTGCAGCCAGAGCTAAAACTTGCTCGCAAACGCGTTTGTAAACCCATGCACTCCCTTTAAGTCTTTTCCTTCGGATTCCGACGACTGGTTTCGCGTTCAACGCGCCTTCTATTAGACAAACCTCTAATTCAAACGAACAAATGTTCCTTGTCGTGAAAGGTCTTACTCCAGCTTTGCTAGGATCATCGTTAAATTCAGTTTCTCCTTGGAGGATAAACCTGCAATTAGATGGAGTTAGAAAAATCGATTTATGGTCGTTAAGAATTAGTAACACCGCCATTTTCATTTTACCCTTTCTGCCGACAAACTATTCCTTTGCGGTGAAGAGCTCGTCGTAGCTGTGACAGGACATATTTGGGGCAATCGCAAGATGTTGATGATATATTGCAGAGTCCCTAGATGAAAAATGAAGTCCAGTCAGTACATTGATTTTCTTTCGTCAAATAACAAATACGAACCTTTCCGGAAAGCAAAACTGGTTCGTCCGGGTCTGTGTTTTCGTTTTTGACTCGACGCTTTGGCGTTAAGACACATCGAACGCGATTCAGGCCGCGTTCCAATCCCATAATTACCTTCCTGGCACTACCTGGAGTCACGGACTGCGAAGCTCTGCGAGAAATTAATTTTTGTTTAACATGAATCAATATTAATATCCGAGAACTTAAGATTTTTTATTCAATAATATTTACTTTGAGTCCGATCCTGCAGCCGAAGTGGGAGTCATGGCTTGTCTGCCTTTCTCAGTCGGCTTTTTCATTGGTACTGCAAAGAGAAGGTGATAAAGAAAGAATCTGAAGCATAGTGAACAGCGTGATAATTAATCTTGCAAAAGGGGAGGGAGTGATTAATCGCAAAGATCCCAACCCCTAATTGTGCTCGCTCGAGAGTTTTGCACCCTTTACCTGTAATTATCTGTCTGGAGTACGAGCGATACTTTTAACTAGCCATTAAACTTCTCAACTAAGTAAATGCGAGTCCACTCGCAGCTCCTTAACAAACCCAAGTTTCCTCTAATTTTAACTTTCCACCGAGACATTACCTTTCCTTACACCTCGGCTTATTTATGAAGTTTAATTACAAAGGACTTTAATGTCACTCACTTGGTGATGGTAAATCGTCTGGATCCTTGCTGCGCAGTCTTTTACGTCCGACAACTCGTGGCTCCGTGAAATTATTGTTGTCGTTTTTATCTAAAAGATAGACACATCGATTTCAGTAATGTCACCCTGAAATTATTAAGTACAATGTCTACCTACCGCAGTCAGGAGTTTTTGGAAGAACATTGTAGGTCTTATCGATGACTGGAGAATTCTTGGCCAATTTATTTCTTGGAGATTGATCGAGCAGTGTGATGAAGTTATTGACACCATCGTGTGGGGTTACGTGTTGGCCATTCTGAATTAAAAATCAATCATGCAATTAACAAGTTAAAAAATGGGAAATATTAGTAGCAACTTAAATACCACTGCTTGTCTGAGATAAGGCCTCGTAGCAGAAGGTATCCTTAAAGAGAGTCCAGAAAGTTTCCGATCGAGCAAGAGCAGATACGTTGCAGTTCTGTAGTCGGTTCGATTGCTTTTAGTCAATGCCTCCCAAATATGGTCACTGTCTTCTCCACAAATGACTGACATGGTACTTAATACTTCTTGATCCTTTTCAAACTGTAAACAAGAGAATTTGTGAGTATTTTAATATACCAGGAAAAAAATGCTGCCAGATATTTCGTCAGGAATAAGCCAAGTGCGAAAGCGTGCCCACTAATTCAACTTGCTTGTTTCTGACGGACATTCTTGGCAAGTACATCCTATTAGCATCTATGTATTACATTAACTCTTTTAACGTATGTAACAGGGTTTAAAAAACCAGTGGTAATCCATGGATGATTGCACAATTCTTCGACCGTTATTCTTTTCTTGGGATCAGTTTGCAGCATGGACCGAATTAATCTCCTACTACTACTGGATAACCAGCTGGGTTCATCGTATTTGCCACTCTAAAAGTAAATCATTATCAAGAAAATGCAATAATATTATAATGTAAGAACTTACGAGAATCTTCCTGTAAAGGTTTTCTATATTATTGTCATCAAATGGTAAAAAACCACACAAAAGGGCATACAACAGGACACCCATGCTCCAAATGTCGATTTCCGAGCCTAAAAATAACGTAAGTTGTGGATTATTCATAGAATAATTTGTTGATCGCTTCAAAGTGATCAAAAAACTTACCCAGGTATTTTTTTCCTAATATAAGTTCTGGGGCGGCGTAAGTTGGAGATCCACAAGAAGTATACAGGTGAGCTTGCATGCCACCCTTTGGCTTTGCACAAAGGCCAAAATCTATAAGTTTCAGATTTTGTTCTTTGTCCAGTAGAACATTCTCCTAAACCAAACAGAGAAACGACACCATTCAGAAAAATTATAGCACCGTTCGAGTCAGCGATAAATCATGTCAACGTACAGGCTTGAGATCTCTGTGGGCATATCCTAAGCTATGCAAGTACGCCACAGCAGATACTATTTGTCGGAAAAACTTTCGTGACTCCCTTTCTGTCAATCTATTCTTTTGAACTGTGAACATAATTATGTCAAGTTCATGCATAAGAATAGTGAAAACACATTTATAGTATTTAATTATTTATTAATCGCATACCTATGTGATCGAACAATTCTCCTCCTGAGCAGTACTCGATTACCATAAAATAATGGCTTTCTGTTTCGATAACTTGATACAGCCTGCATATGTGTTGATGTATTAACGTCTTTAAAGCTTCCACTTCTAGTTTGACTCTGGGCAAATCGTCCTAAAAGTAATGAAGAGATCGCATGATCGGTGCACCTTGGATGGCTCGAGCAATCAGTACCCAAAGACATTTTCAAGGCATACTCTTCATGAACAAAATTATCAGCATCACAGGCACATTAATTTAAACAATTCCCACTAAAATTAACTTACCCCTAAGGTAGCTTTTTCCATAATCTTAATAGCCACCTTTTCGCCGGTTGCGACATGTGTGGCGAGTTTAACTTTCGCAAATCCTCCGCACCCGATTGTCTTTTCGAGCTCATAGAGTCCCTTAAGAGCTGCATATCTAACCATTGTGACTTTTTAAAAAACCTTCAAGGGAAAATAAATGCCGTAAAACGCGCCCCCGGCATTACTTTTTAAACTAGAATATGTAACGTAAACAATATCTGACAGCCAATCAAGATAGTTCGCACCTGCCGCCATTTATTAAGAGATGAGTTGGGAGATTGCTCACGGGCAGGATCCTGCGACCGCATTCTGTGCTGCCCTCTGCTTTCGTACGTTAGCTTTCACCGTTTATTGCTCCCAAGGGCGGCGCAACGAATTTCTGACAGAGATGAGTTGGGAGACTGCTCACGGGCAGGATAATGTGATCGCATCCTGTGCTGCCCTCTGGTTTCGTACGTTAGCTTTCACCGTTTTTTGCCCCCAAGGGCGGCGCAACGAATTTCTGATAGGAGCTCGCGCACTTGGGATGGCGGTACCATCTACAAGTCGCCGTGGCGGCTCACGTACTCGTGATGGTAATACCATGCGGCAGTTGACGGTGGTGCCTTACCTACGCTTACCGACACTGCTCGCTTTTGATGGTAAGGGAAGAACACTCGTGACGCTCCATATGACTTTATCTACTTATCTACTACTATTAAGTACCTTGTTGCCTCGCAGTCGACGTGATGCGGAGCTTTGGAGCACGCGTCGGTGTCGCGTATGGAACTCTCATAGCAGCGAATCTGCGTGAGTGCGATCGCTCCT